GAGAGAGAGAGAGTAGAGACTTTACCTTGATATTCATTCGATGCTCGGCTTCCAAAATTCATATCAGTCTCAAATCTTGGATGTATATTCCTCTTGCCTCTCATACCTTGAAAACCCATAAGCGCCCTTTTATCAGAATTCTTCTTACCCCTCATCCCTTGAAAACCCATTGGTGCTCTCTTGTCAAAATATGCATCTGAATCTATGTAATAGTCTTCATCATTTTCATCTTCATTATTTTCATCTTCATCATTTTCATCAAAAATATCTTTCTTTCCTCGCATACCCTGAAATAATTATTAAGTAAGTAATTTACAAAATTTTCTCAAACTTTTTTATGTTATCAATTTAAATTATATTTTAAAACCGTTACATTCTTTTATGATACGATTATGAACTAAAGTTATTACATATTACGCTTTGCTTATATATCTTCTTTTAGAGAAATCTATTAGATATGTAACTTCAGGAATCGATTAAGCAACTTACCTGAAAACCCATGAGGGCTCGTTTCTCAAGTTCCTCTATCACGTCAAGCAGTGCTTTTTTACCTCTCATTCCCTGAAATCCCATGGGAGCTCTTTTCTCCCACTCTGCTGGAAATTCTTTCATCGTATCGTGCAAACCTCGATATCCCATCGCGAGAAGTCTCTTTTCGTAATCTTCCGGATATTCAAAAACATATGTCTTTTTTCCCCTAGTACCGTGAAAGCCCATCGCGACCCTCTTTTCAATTTCGCTCAACACCTGTAACTTAGAACTTGTTAGTAAAATATCAGCAACGACATTTAGTTTCAGATAAATTAAAATATGTAAATTTAAAAAAAAACACAACAAAGTTTAAGAAGTTTGAACGAGCAAGAATCTTTTAAAATGATTTTTTTCAGAAACAATGGTCTAATAAAATAGCTTAAAAAAGATTGAAATGTCTCGAACATCCATTTTGTTGAAACAATCTTGTATTTGAGAAGAATCTTATAAATTATTAATCAATCATGGAATGCTTGAATGCTTGAATGCTTTCAGCATAATAATCAAATTATTAATATCGAATGTTTTCTTACCTCTTCCAAAGATTTCTTTCCTCTCATTCCTTGAAATCCCATGGGTGCGCGTTTATAGTATTCGTTCTCCAACGTGGCCTTCTTGCCTCTCATACCCTGAAAGCCCATTGGCGCTCTTTTCTTGTAGTCGTCACGAAAGTAAGAATCTTCGAAATCAGGTATCAAATAATCCTTCTTTCCCCTCATACCCTGAAATCCCATCGGCGCTCGCTTGTCAAACTCGTCATGCAGAAAATTATTCTCAACATCGGATGCACTCGATTCTTTACCCTGTGTGATCAAAATCTGTCTTATAAATAATTCCAAAAAAAAATAATTACACATATCTTTCTTCTTTTTCTTTCTTTATGTAATTTTAATAGAAAACACAAATAACTTTTAATAGACAACACGAATGACAACTTACCTGAAAATCTACTAACATTCTCTTGGAAAGTTCATTGTGTTCTGTTGCCGTGGGAATGAGGTCCTTCTTTCCGCGCATATCCTGGAACCTCATAGGCGCCCGTTTGGCAGACGCGACATCGCTGGAAGACGATTCTTCCGCGAACGATGAACTAGTCCAGATTGCCAGGAACAAAACCGAGTTGATAAACATTCTAAAACATATCAATAAGTCAATCTCACTCATTGATGTAATGATCTTTTTTTGTCAAAAGAATTTAAATGTGAGTGTTAATGAGATTTCCATACAATAGGACATGCATCATTGTTGCACTATTCTCGTTGTTGATGCATCTCGGCGTTTACATGAAAATCAAATCAAACTACATCACATTAAACTAATTTATCGACGTGTCACGTAACCACATTTGATTGTTCATCAGGAACCCAACACTAACGATCGGTCGGATATAGACTTGAGATACTCAAATGATACTAATTCTAACCACATGTTTGCTACTCATTAGCATCTGAAGTACAATACAAGAAGAAATAGAGAAGATAGATAAATGCATTTAATTAACGGAGAGAAAAATTATTGTTTATTAATTAGAAAAAGAATCTTTTTTTTAATTACTAAAACAATGAAATTAAATGAGTAATAAATGTTTTACTTGTACTGCAATTAATCACAGCAGAGATCTAGCATGTATACAATGCATACGTAAATAAAAATATTTTATTATTGCGTCAGATGAAAGATATGAAAAGCATAAAATATTCTTTTGTGATATATTATGCTACATGCAAGAATTTATTATAAAAGAAAATCATTTTTGCGAGAAAATAATATTTACGTGAAGCGGAACATATAAAATAAGGCCGCCGGAAATACAGAAAGAAACAAAATCGCTTTCGCGATGTCAAAAGAAGATATTCGCGTGTTGCAGTGAGGAAACATTTCAAGAAATGTATAGAGCACAATATTAAAAAAAAAATAAATCACAAGGAAATCACAAGGAAATGTTTGATTAACTTGGAAGAAATGCACGGTTCTTGAAAATAATCGACCTTAAAGCATATTTATTCGTACCTTAAAGCATATTTAAGCTTGCGCCAAACATATATACAACAGGAGAAACAGTGTAATTCCGTTCTTGTCACGCTCCTTGGCAGATTATTCAATTTTATAAGGTTTAAAAGTGCTGCTACTCTTCAAAGCGGAGGCTATAATTAGCGAATGGAAGTATAGGAGGATAAAGGCTTGCTTTTCTCAAAGCATCTCGTGCCACGAGACCAAAGAATATCAATATAAGCGGCCATGGAGAAATGGGAAAGGTACGTTCTCTTGCCATAGATCGAGAATGTTTTAAATTCTTATAATAAAACTATCTGCACAGATTACTGACTCTTTTGAAGTTGAATATATATATATATATATATATATATATATATATATATATATATAAATACATTAACAATAATCTATATGTATATTAAATATTGTTTCTTGATAATATAAACTTTTCTTCTACTAATCTGTATGCAAATTGTCCCACATACTTAATATAACTTTCCTTCGCACAACATAATGGAATAACTTCTCTTAATATCTACGTAAAAGCATCTTTGCGATCATAGTTGCCATTGTCATTATTAAGATTGACAATAGAGTATTTCATATATTAGCAATATTAATGAGATCAAAATTTTAATATGAAATCTTTCTAAATTTCACATTTTGCATATCTCTTATGTTTATATTATTATTTTCATATTACTTATATTCTTCTTTTTTCCTATTTTCTTTTTAATTAAACAAATTAAGCAAATAAGAAATATTTTTTTATGTATGTTCTTTAACTAAGAAAAAATTAATGTATTCAGTGAATGTACAGTGAAGTAATTAATTTTATTACAAATTTTTATTTTTATTTCTTAGTCGCGTAAATATATTTAAATGTGTAAATATTTTTCAACTATGCGGAAACTTATAAAAAATTTAAAAAAAATAATTTTATTTAAACAACATAGATTTATTAAAATTTAATATTTTTAATATTTCATGTATAATATTGTTTTTCTATTTAAAAATATTAAAGAAGAATTAATTAAACATATATTTACACAATAACATATAACCAATATATCTATGTATTTGTGCATATAAAACTTTATAAAAGTTATCAATTGGGAAAGCCATGTTGTTTCGTTATTATTTTTTATCTTTTAAAAGCATATATATTATTCACGGTTATATTGTGAAACTTTGATTTTAGTTAATAGAGTTCTATTCAACGTAATCTGATATTCGTGTCACATTAGTGTATATATTGCATGTATATTGTAGCTGTATCAATAAATTAAATATTTTATAGAAAATAATAGAAAATATAATAATTTTTTATATTTAATAATATTTGTAATTTAAATATTGTAAGTTTGGATTAGAAAGATTTATTTCTTGTATCACCTATTAATTAATTTGTTAAACTCTCAAATATTTCCATAAATATATATATATTTATTATAAGATTCATATATTAGTTATATATTCTTATATTAGTATTCATATATTCTTATATTAGTCTTTTTTATATTAGTCTTTATCTCTTCGTTGTTGTAGTACTATGTTCTAAACGTGTTCTTCCTTTTTAATTTTATATTTAATTTTATTATATATTACTTAAGAAAATATACATATGTATTAATTTCAAGTTAAGTATTCTAATTATGTGTAAATTTATGCAAATAAATATATGAAGCGTATACTTTAAAGCTCCAAATGTACCATAGTTTGTCCCATGAGATAGCTAATTTGCTTACGTAGATGTATTGCAATATTATATATTAGTAAAAATTAATATTAATAACGATATGTATAAGCTCCAATTAAAAATTATATAATTGTATTGCACATCATATTTGCAATATTTTGCATATATTTTGCAATAATTATGTCAACGATGAATTAACTTCTCTTAAATACGAATTTTAAGAAGCTATAAGAATTTAATTATTATAACTAACAGAACGTTATTACGTTATTATTTTATCTAAAAACATCTCGAGATGTCTCAAAAGTGTTTAAAAAATGTCATCCGAGATGTTTTTTTATATTTTTTACTTAAATTGACATAACTTTGTGATGTCGACATTTTCTTAGAGAAAATAAATTTAAGTAATAATATTAATGTACACAAGATTCTTTTAAAACAATGCGCATACCTGACGCCACTTTTTTATTTTTGTAAAAAGTCAATCGTGTACGGATAGAAGAAAGATTGATCTATAGATGCCAATCACATCCTAGAATCGTGTCGCGTAAAAGATGACAACGTGAAAAACGTATTAATGTGCGCACATTGTAAACTACCGAGGTCAACTGCTCTTCGGCGCAAAGTAAACGGAGCGAGAATTCTAGCTCGACGAAGGGAACGTGTCATGTCGGGCAGAGAAGATGAGAAAAGGAGAGATATGATAAGAGAGGTGGAGAGAGGTGGAGGTGGATAAGAGAGGGGTAGAGAGGTGGAGAGTAGCGAATACGTGAGAGACTGTGGCGGTGAGTCTGCTGGGTGGTGAATCTTTCCTCACCACCGACCGGTCACTCGTGTAATCGTCACTCGTGTTCCAAGCAAGCTTGTCCTACGCGATTTACCTCCTTAAAGTCAGAAGCCTGAACTCTCTTCATGCAACACATCGAATTACATGATTTGTCGGAATTCCGATCGTCGATGATTGACAATTGTATATCACAAATATTAAATATCATAAATCAATTAATTATATACTATTATTATAGTTGTATGCCATATAACTATTATTTAATTAAATGTTATATAAATAATAAGACAAGCAAAAATGAAACAAACTATTAAATGGTAATTTCAGATAAATTAAATTTAAATCAAATTCAGAATTTCACTTCCTAGAATTAATATGACTTTTAAGAATTCATATATAGTTACATATTAATTATCTTGATCCGCAAAGAAAGGAATATAAAAGAAATTAAATAATTTAACAAAATATTAATTAAATTATCAAATAATGATATTCAATAATTAATATTAGTTTAATAATTTATATTAGTTTTTAATAAAATTTATTATAAGACGAAATATATGAATTTTTACTTCGAAATTTGACTAGTCTTTAAATCTATAGTGAACATTGACGTTTGTGTCATATATAATGTAGAGAGCCTAGCATACATCGATTAGTATATATAGTTTATACGAAGAACAAGAGCGCTTTACTTGAACGATGAATTTTCATGAAAGAGAGAGATCAGTAGAAAAGCTGAGATGAATCTAAACAATGCACAAGAAGAAATCGCAATGACGGAAAATCACTCAGATAGAGGAGCCTTACTATTGTCTCTGTGAGGACATATTTATCTCTTCAAAGTGTGACGTAGTACATAATGTAAAACAGTCGCATGCATGCTGAGATGCATGCCTAGAAAAGCCGCTGTGAATCGCGTGTTCTAGATTTTTTGCTATATAAGACCTCTGATTTGTATCAGAATTATAAATACTTTTTAATAATATTTCTTAATAAGCCTCCGGATATTGTATTTTTTTAAATATTTTAAACTGTTAATTCTAAATAACAATAATGTATTATATTTCATATATAATTTTAAAAATTCTAGAATAAAAGCTTAAAGTAAAAAATATGTGGTACTAATAATAGTACTTATTAAGAAATTAGTAAAATTATTTGTAGTAAAACATTTTATGGTGCTGTATTCCGATTTATACACACTCATAGCTTACATTCATCCCGTTCGAAAAATTCTTTCAAATGCTTTAAAAGATTGTGAAAATGTAATAAATGTAACGTAAAGTTTTATATGTCATTAAGTAAACATCTTTTTTTATATATAAAGAAGGGGGCTTTGTTCTTTATTCACCTACACATGACTAGTTCGGTCATTGCACATGTGAAGGTGTATCACAAGAAGGAATATCATTTTATCTTGCAGTGAAATTTTTCTTTAATTAAATAGCTGTCACTTCATTATTTTAACTTTACTCTATTGTGGATACTACAAATATTACAGTACAAAAAATTGACGTATAAAAAATTGACATTATTGTTCAGTTTATATAATATAATATTTTTTAAAAATCTGCACATACATGTGCAGGATGGATTTAATATCTATATCATCACATAAATTCAACTTTCTAAATTAAATTAAGATATC